CTGCCTACACAGCGATGCACTTAACACTCTTGCATTCTATGCAGGTGTATGCTTTAGAACGAGACCTTACAGGGTGCCTTTTCTTTTTCGAAGGGGGGATACAGTCACTTTAACCTGCATAAATACAGAGGTTGCCACTGCTGACCTGAAGTTGCTGGCTTTTCAATGGACTTTAATTTGAGCATGTGGCTACTCATTCATGAATGACTCATTCAGAGGGTGACACATAAATATCAATAGTGTACACCTAGTTGATATTCACATGCTGGCCCTGAGCGCGGGCAGCCGATAGCATACATTTACTCTGCATGCATACAAACATTACCACAAATGAAACCTGCATACAGTGTATGAACACATTTTTATACAGAATCTTGGTGTATGCAATATCCCATGTAAAGACTTGTGCTCTGTGGCCCTACATATTTGGCTCAATTAATCATTTTAATGCACAGGGTGCCTTGATGCAAAGCATACCACAAATGGCCTGCACAAGTCTTAATGAGTCCTTAGAAAAAGTGGAGGAACTGGTAACATCAGAATTATGAATATTGCACCATGTACTGTACAGTATATTTGAGAACTGCATATTAAGCAAAGTCCTTCATAACGTGTGTTTTTTTTCTCTTTAAACTAAATCAAAATTGCCATATAGTAAATAGGATACCATTACCTTCACCTGATGGTAACCCAGTGCACAGAGTGCTTTATTGCACAATAAGAAACTATATAATTCAAGTGTGTGGCATTAGCCATGCTCTATAGTAGACGTCTAACACCTATATCTTTTATATAGATAACATATCTAACAGGACAAAGCCAACCAAACAACTATTAAAGAGTAAGCATAAATATAGACTACCAACTGCTGTAATAGCCTGTACTAAAAAGAACACGGAAGTGTTTTTATGAAACTTGTAAATATATACACACACTGCCTTTGTATTGAGTAGGATTCTTTGTGTGCCCTAGGCAGATTTCTGTCCAATGTCCCAGAATTGCTTAAAAGGCTCTCAAGTCTCTATAAAAGACATCTCAGGATGCAAAAGGTCAAACTGGTATATTAGGCCAATGCCAATAGATATATACTTGGTCTTTTTTTTTTTTTAATGGATATTTAACAATACCCTGCACTTTCTCTTATCGTACAAGAGGCACTAAGAGGTTTTGTGGTTAATGAATGAAAGCCTGTTGTTCTATCTGTTAAACATGAGAGGTAATATTAGAAGGTGTATTTAATAATACAATGCAAACAGATTGTGCAGTAACTCCTAGCAAAAAAAGCGGACTAAAAATACCTGTTTAAATCAGAGCATCACCTGCAATGACAGGATAACCTGGGCCACCAGTTCTTTGCCAATGGGATCTGGACTCCTTGTGATAGTTTTTAGGGGTGAAGGATTTACTTTGGCTTTCTATTGTAAGCTCATTAAACAGTTTGAAATTTTAGCAAATATTAAATCATATATAGAACAGTGATAAGCAATTATTTCAGTTAACCAGTTACAAATCCAAACACAGTTTTGGCTGCTGGTAATCAATGTACTCATAATTAGGCGACCCATGCCTAGTGAAGTGTGGTAAATGTTAGCATTTATAAAGGGAATCTTAGTTTATGAATACAAACAAACTATTATTTCAGTATGAAATGATGGCGATCAGAGTAATCACTGTCTAAGTTTTAATAACTTATTGGAAACCTAATGATAGGACCTCCTGTTACAAAGTCTTGCCCCTCCTACTGCAGCATTAATTTAATTTTTTTCAGATTCCCCTTGCTGTAAAACAAAGGAAGATACCTATAGCCTGGCATTGCTGACCATCTTCTTAAAAATGCTAGTTCCTTGACTATCACCAGTATCATTGCTTTTCAAATTACTAATCTGGAATTAATATGCTGCAAGCAAAGTCAGGCAAGTTTGCAACTCCTGATCTGTAACTTGTTTCAGGTCATTATTGAAGCCAGCATCACATGATCAACACAACAGCCAGTATATTCAGATATGTCAGCTTACATGTTGCATTCGGCTTAGAATTTATACATTGGGAGGGCCAGGGAACTCAGATTCAGTGCCTTTGCTGCAAGAATCCTTGAGAGAAAAGATATGAATTAGCCATCAAGCATGAATGGGTGTACTACAATAACCATAGTTATCTATTGCAACCCTTTAGAATTTCTCTAGGTTCGTTTCTGCATAAATAACACTCATCTTTCTTTGCATCTGACAAAAGACCGGAAATCAGTTCATATCAGTGTAGTGGAGTCAAGTGCTGGGCTTATATGCATGGCACTTTTTCACACATTCTTGTCCTCCTATACTCAGTTACATTTGTAGCAGGGTGAACAAAGATGGGCTGAGGGGTTTGTACTGTGTCATAAACCCTAATCCTGGGAGTTTGTGTTTCACTATATCCAGGAGCTTAATGTCAATAAGAGATGAAAATCAATTAACATGTTTCCCTGTGAATTAATGGAACAGAATGTACCCATAGGCGCTCTATCTGAAATTAGATCCATTGAAGCCTATGTGAAGCCTCAATTCAGCTCTGTTTCAGATAGGGTAAACATAAATGGGCCCATTCAAACATTGGCTAATATCCGATTGGTTACTGCACACCCCAATTCTTTGTACTGCTACTAAATTAGCCTATAGGTGTTTGAAGACGCATACATCTTATCCACATTTATTTCTAGATATCTGCCATGATTAGTGTTACTTTACAGTATCTCCCAGTACATGAAGCTAAAGGCTGGGATGTTTCAGTGCACTTAAATATCATGCCCTATTACTGGATATATTTATCAAGCCAAAAATGAAGCTATGGTCTACCACCATGTCAAAGAGAAGCCAGTGCAAAGGTCAACTGTCTTTTATCAGCCCATACTTGCAGTAGTATGCTAGGAGTCTAGCCAAGATCACTAGAGTCTAAAAAAGGAGTTTTCCTTATGTAATGTCTCTGAAAGCACAAACACCACGTTATAAGTGCTAAGTGGTGGTTTGTGCTAATTGAAAGTTAAATGTTTGGGTTTACTAACAAAGCATTAACCTCTCTTGAAAGCTTGTAAAAGTCAATCACACATTAGCATTGACTGATCTAGTGCAAATCAATATGTGTAAATGGTGTGGGTTACTTCACATTTCCATTTTAAAATGAAACAATATGGTACAAAAAAAATGCTGGGGTCCATTAATGCTCTGGAAATTAATATAACTGGTACCCAATCCCCAGTTGGGCATACTATAGATTTGATCAGAACATACAACAATCTACCTAATCATGCCACTATTTGACTACGATCATAGCACTTTGCTACTAACTCAGTGCTGTCTTAATTAGGGCATTAGGACAGCATAAGGTTTTATTTGACCCTTTTTGTAATTTGTATGCACAGTGTAGCTAGTTAACAATAAACTAAGTATCTGGTCGGCTTGATGTATTGAATATTAATATAATACAATTCAAAGCTAAACTGAATCTCTTGTATATTACTGCTAAATGGAATGTTTTAAGTTTTCCTGCTTTTCATTCAAATTAATCTGCAATAGATGATTCTTATGTAAGGAGCAAAAAATATCTATTGTATATAGCATTTTATTTATTAATCATACATTCAATTAAAAGCAGAACAAAAAAAATAAAAAAATGTCTCTATTACAACATAGGCAGTATTGCAGCAATTTGTTTTTTGGATCAGATGGTCCTTAAATTTAGTGCATAATTGATTTCTGGCAGCTTAATATTGGTCCACAAATAAAAGTTGGAACTCTTACTAGTACTTTATGTTCATTTAGCACTATACAGACATTTAAATAGATTGGCATGCTCACTTCAGTTCATCCTCATGTCAGCAGTGGTTTATTAGATCCAGTTCTTTCTTTGGTTTTGTGATATTTAAAACCATTTGGTTCTACTGGAAGTTAGAAAATCTAACAGAACCTCAAAATAAATATGAGGGTCATTTTATTAGATGATATAGAATATAGAGCAGGGCAACCTAGCAAACAGCACCTAGACCTATTTCTGTGGGTTTGCATCCCTCCATATTCCTAATCTTTTTTTTTTACATTTCACAGACCATTCTAAAACACAACATTAGGTATACTAGCTTCTAGATGTGTTTGATGTCTATACATTAGGCTATAGCTGTAAATATTAAAGCAACCACACCCCTCCTTTGCTCATGTTAACCTCAGTTTGTACCACTGGTAGATTATAGATCATAGACAAGATAATATTGGAAACCCTACAAAGTTTCACAAGCAGGAGGTAACTGCAGCCTAGTATTGACAACCTAATGACACAAACATCAGCCAAGAGCACAATAGGTGGGAGAGTTTTTCTTTTCTGCTAAGCTTCCATAAACTCGCTCAGAGCTTGTTTGCAGTTAAAGGGTGCATATTATTACAGAGGTGAAGAGAAAAGACTTTTGATATTAAAGTATTAGGTATATCACTCAGTTTTATAAAACATTAGCCACCAACATTACTAATAAAGGCAAGAATCTTAATCTTACAGGAGATATTCTCTAGTTCTTGAGAACCATATTTATCTCAAACCAGTAGTTTCATTCAAAGTTGACATCAATCATCTGTTTAATTTTACGCCAGTATACACCAAATCTACCTGGAAACAGAAACTAAAAACTGATAAGCTAGTAGTGTAACATTCATGACCCAATTATGTTGCAAACATTACTTCAAATAGCATTCTTTATTCTTCTTTTCACAAGCTTCAATGTGACCTGCATAGCATTGCTGCCACTGACAAACATGGTGATATAGGTAAGGGGGTGTATGTAATTCAGAGGAATGTGCCACATCCACAATACATCTCTATCCAGTAAACACATGATACATCCAAGTCTCTGCCTACTCTCATAATCGGGTTGAGGGAAGGATCTCATTGGAAGCTACCACAGATCCATCATATTGCTGTTTTCACTTTGCACAACTTGTCTGTTCTTCACCAAGACCAATTTCCACTGTGCTATGTCTTCACTATGGTGAGGGCTCAAACTTGTGGCCTGAACTTCTCACCCAAGAAAGTGGATTTAAATGCCGCTCATGGTCTTTGTCAGACTCTGGTTGGCTCTGTGCTCTCTCTGGCTTGGGGTTGCTGGAAGGTGGTTCCGGCTGCTGAACAGACATAGTTCTCCGGAGGTGGTTCCGTTTCCTCAGGAATTCAGGTTGCGTATGTAAGCCAAAACTGCCCTTCCTTAGGATCATTCTGGAATTGTTCTTCTTAGGTCGGGAGTGGTGGCTAAATTCCAATGAGGCCAAATGAGCAGCATATCCTTCATTAACAAACTGACACAGAACATAAATAATATATGTTAGATCTATTGAAGCATAACTCCAGACTTTATATACACTAAATACACTTTTGTCTTTTTAAATAAAGAGTAATATATGCAGTCATTTATGTTATGATAAAGTGGATTTTTTTTTACACATATGACTCAATTTGCATGTCATATTTTAATGACATCATGGACTGTACACTATTGGACTCTTTTAACCGCTTGCCTAAAGGGCACTTATACCCCCATCCTGCCCAGGCCAATTGCCAGTTCTCAGCGCTGTCACACTTTGAATGACAATTGCACAGTCATGCAACACTGTACCCATATGAAATTTGTTATTTTTTTGTGACAAATATAGCTTTATTTTGGTGGTATTTAATCACCTCTGGGTTTTTATTTTTTCTTAAACCAAAAAACTGGCACGTTTCAGCACTGGCAGCTGGCATTGATGGACACTGACAGGTGGCACTTCTGGGGCCACACTGATCATCAGGGCACACTGATCATCAGTGCCCTGATGATCAGTGTACATGTCCCCTCCGCGGAATGCCGATTACCCGGCTCTCCTCTCGAGCTGTCAGTGTGACAGCTCGTGAGGAGAGAAATGCCGATAACCGGCATTTCCCTGTTTACATGTGATCAGCTGTGATTGGACACAGCTGATCACATGACCGAGCTGACATCTTCGGCTCTTTCCATAGATCGGTGATCCGCTGTGTCCAAGGGACACAGCGCACCACCGATCGCCGCGCTGCGTGCTCCCTGAGCCACGTATGCGTGGTGAGAATGGAAGGACGTCATATGATGTCCTCCCAGAATGAGAGAACCACCTTGCGCCCATCATTGGACTATATGGCGGGTGGGTATGGTTAAACTGAATGTATAGTTGCTTTGAATATATGCTCTTTAATTATTTATAGCAATAGTATGCCCACTCCAGAGTTTGCAAGGTTGGAGATATGAAAAATGTTAAAGAAGTGTTTTAGCAGGCAATACTGTATTTGCAGGAGTGCAAAGAGTCTGAGGGAAATGTACAGTATGTGTAGAAGATGAGTTCAGGAGAGTAGGACAAAGGGTAGTATGTGCAGAAGATGCAGAAGAGAAGCACAGAGGGTATGATAGCGGGTTGTACAGTATGTGCAAAGGACAGGTGAAGAGGGTATGATAGTGACCAGTATGTGCAGTAGAGGGCAGAGTGTATGATTTCTGGATTTCTCATTTTTTAACTAGAACTACATACATTTATTAGATTTCTTTGGCGGAATTACTGTTCCAAGCAAATAGTCCATTTATTAACCCCCTTAGCGGTATTCCCGAGTGTAGCTCGGGGTAACATTTGAGTACCAAGAGCGGTAACCCCGAGCTACACTCGGGCTTACCATACGGCGTTGCTCAGAGGGTCCCTGCAGGACTTACCTTGTCCTTCGCTCCCGCGATGTGTCCCCTGCAGCATCCCCGGCCATCTCCTCTGGCCGATGCCGGCATCCGGCTTCCGTGTTCCGGTCCCTGTGACGTCGGGACGTACGGGCGCCGGAATCGGCGGCAAATTTGAAATTTTTAAAAAATGTCATTTTTGCTGTCATTGCTGTTTCAATGCATTTCACATATATTTTGTCCCTACTGCTTTGTCCTGTGCCCTGCCTGCATTTTGACTGTTCTTTCTGCCTGGAAACTTAGAAAAGTCATGGTGTCCAAAAAGCGTCCCTTTACGTCAAAAGCGGTTTAGACCAGCTAGAGAACAGCGATAGTAAATCAGAACCACTTGCAGAATTGAGTGATGATTCGTGGGGAAATTCGTCATCAGACACTGAAAACGATTTTGCGACTTTGCTCAGCGATGTGCGAATTTGTCTCTGTATTTCAAATTTCAGTGTTTTTGGGTTTGATTATATTATTGAATTAAATTTATTATTATATTATTTTTTATGATTATTTATTAAATTATAATTTATGATTTCGTGTTTCAAGTTTTATCATATCCGGAATGTTTACTAGACTCTTGTTCGTACAGATTTCAGTGAGTTATTCCTAAAAATTACAGCCTACAATAAAAAACTACATATTTCCATGCAAAAAAATGGTACCGCTTTCAGCACAAAAAAATCAGAAAGAATAATACCGCCGAGGAGGTTAAGGTCAAAAAAAGGATTTTTTTTCCAACTGTGATGAGTGATTGTTAGCTCTCTTGCTGAAGTTTTGTACTTTTTCTGGATCATAATTTTTAAAATTTATAGCAATAAAACATTTTTCAACAGCTGACCATACTCTGTTATAATGCTGCAATAAAAAACTTACCTGACACTGATTCTGATACTTCTTGGCTGCACGTCCAACTATATAGATTTGAGAAGATGACAGTCCAAGCACATTGTACACAGAAATGTCTTTCATTGATCCATAGGCTGCACTAATTTTGATGTGACACTGGAAAAAGAAAAATATTGCTTAAGAGTCTGTGGTGCTTTTAAGCAACAGAATCTTGATTAGATGACTGAAGTAATAGCAAGACAGACAGACAGACAGACAGACAGACAGATGCCAAGAATACAGATGTATTATACAGTAGTTATGGAAAGGATAAACATTCAAATAAGCAAAGCAAAATAGAGCCAATGACAGGTTAGGTGACCAACAGTTTTGTCATATTACATTGTAATGCAATTCTATGGCTAAAATAAAACACTTAAAGTGTTACTAAACCCAGAAACCTGCATTCACTATACCTGGTCTCCCACAGTACACAGAACATGGAAATGCAATTATTTTAGACTGCTCTAACTGCTGATGAGAAAAAACAGTGTTTAGCAGTCTTGTGACTTCTGTCAGTGTCCAACAGAGCACTGGTTAAAGCTTGTAGGAGGATTTTGTATTCTCCCCTGATTGTACTATGAGGCTGCAAAACCCCTGACCCTCTGTCTGGACAGCACCGATTAATCCTGTGCTGATCACATGCACTCTCCCAAGAAAAAAAGAAACTCTAACAATACACACAAAACTGAGTATGTGCAGAGTGACTCCTAAAGCTCTGTTCTATCAGCAGATGGATTGGGGACAGTAGAAGAAGAGGAGGATAAGAAAAGATGGGATCAAACATCTTTTTTACACAATGCGGAGGATTAACCCCTTAGGTTCCACATGCTTTACTGCATATATAGACTGATTTTACTGTTGTGGGTTTAGTAACAATCTAACTGAAAATGAAATGGTATACTGAAAAGAACTTTCCTTCTGAAGAATTTCAGGAGTGTTGATCTCCTGGCGGCCACCATGGTTCCACTCATTACAACATCACACCAGGACAGAATGGCAATAGGGGTCAGCAAAAGGAACCATTGAGCACACTATGGGATCATGAGACCAACACTCCTAAAAGTTTAGTTTTCTGAAGAATCTTCAGGTAGCAATTTTAGTAAAGAAACATTTAGCAGCACAATCCTCTTCTATTCAGAACTGGAAGGAAGGAGAAGCTTTCTTTGTCCTCCTTATGTCAGACTACTAAGGATCAGCTCTGCTCCCATGACCCACTTAGGACCACCTCTAACTAGCCCTTTACATCTTGGCCTGGACCCTCTATTAGATGTCCTTTTTTCATCTTCACTCTGATCACCCTTACAAACTGATCAGAAAATAGAACCAGTTGCTACTCAACCTTTTTTCCTGCCAGGTTCAGCCTCTCCTGGACAGATGAGCCTCTGTATTGGGCTGTAAATCTCCCATAAGGGTATGTGCTTGCAGTACTTTGTTAACCTTTATGGCAATATAAATGGCTGTTTAGAGCATAGTGGCACTGGGACATATGGCCATGCTTTTACTTTTTAGCAGTCTCTTTGCTCCCACTTTCTATTTTTGTTTTAAGCTGCTATTCCTATTTGTGGTAGCACTGGGACATGTTATACCTTGAAATGGCTACAGGGCATGGCTCGAGCTTGTGGGTAATTCCCCGTCCTGGGTGTCTGATGTTTTTTTTTTCATGAGTGGTCAATTGCAAAGTAATAGGAAGCTCTGGGAAGGAAAGCCAGAGCTTTGTGGGAATTCCAGGGTAACGTGGCCCTGCTTATTCCTATCGGCCATCACAATTTTTTCCTCCTGTAGGCAGCTACAAATGCCACTTCCTGCCAGGGCCAATCGCCACAGTAGGATCTTCCTGGCATCTCCTGTCCTGCTACACCCGCTGAGCCTGTCTCTTGCTCTCCATGGTGTCTACTAAGTATTTTTTGTGTGCATGCACATAGAGGATTATGTTTTATACCTCTTGCATGAGATTTCGGAGGAATATCGTCTTCTGGCGCAATGGGTCATGTACAAGTCCATCAGAAAAGAAGATCATCCCTTGTGGAAAGTTGTGCTGTGATAACCAGGAGACCACCCTTTGTTTCTGCATGTCTGGGCGACCAGTGATGTAAATGATTAGATAACCAAGATCTTGCCAATGCCTGAAACAAAATATATTAGACAAATGAGAAAGGGAAAGTATTGCTTCTTTATCTTGCATCACCTCAGTTTCTGGATGCATGAAATTTAAGCTTTTAGCATTATGTCTGCTTTTGTAGCACAAGCAAATTTCAAGAGGCTTCTTGGCAGTTTTGTTAGAGAATACTTCACCTGACCACATCCACTGCTCCGGCTCTTACTTTTGGATCACTACCCATGATGGACACGCTGGCTGCAAATGATCCGTCAATGCTGAAAACCACACACTCCATTCCTGGGGGGAGCACTGTGAGGTAACTCTGTGCACTGCTCTGATCACCCCTAGAGAGTAATATGAAGGTACATAAATGATAGGTAATATGAAGTTTTAGCTGCAGATACAATTTGTATTTCACAGCATAGAAACCTTATTGCTGTTTAGTGAAACCTAGCTATCTGATATTGCCAAGTGGTATAATATAAGCTCTCACCTCACAACCATCTTGATGGGGTACACTCCTACACCCAGTCTCTTATCCTCTGGCACACTGTATGAGACTCGCCCACTGCTGTTAGATATTTCAGTATCAAAGTAAACCCATCTTCCACTAGATGGCTCAGTCATAATAAGAACGTCCACCTAAACAGGGCAAAGATGGTAATTCTTTAAATATATTTAAATGTTATGAAGTTGTTTTCTCAAGACTAAAAAGATAAATTGATATTATCTTAAAAAGATTGTTTTTCACATTACAAATACAATTTGTACCTGCTATGTTTTCCTGAAGTTCAGCTACTGTATGTAAGGCTGAACTCTGGACAAACAACTAAATACACAACTAAAGATTCATCAAATGCTAGTTATTGTATCTGCCATATGATTGACATTATGTTTAGCCGATCTTTTGATCCAGTCACCCCAACAGAATGAATAGTTATACCTTATATGTAAAGATGTAAAATGTATTATAAATTGTATATGTAAGGGGGTCCTCAAAAAGATGTAAATCTCCCTAGTTCCCTGTTTGGCCTGCCCTCTCTGTCATGTGGATTTCCCCAGTGAAGAAAGAGTGCATCTATTTGCATGGTGTGAAGTAGTTGAAAAAATAATATAGCAGGCTAAAGCAGTGCCTAAAATACCAATATTATGAAAAGTGCAATAAACGCTGACAATAAGACCTGAAAATCTTTGTGTAATTAAAAAAGTGTGTGCATACACATCAAAGGTCCCTTTATCACAGTTCTTAACCAAATTTGCCATCACTTTTTAATGGACATTTGAACAAAATAATTGGCGCCATAGAGCTATGGGCATGTAACTGGTGAATGCACCCCTTCTACTTACTGAAGCTAGGCACAGAATATTAAACTTTAGAAGGTTTTTTAAGCAGCCATGGTGCACTGATGTTACTGATACATAGAAAATTAACAGGACTCATTTCTACAATATAGTAGCAGTGTAGTTTCACTTGCTGTGGCTGAATATTAGATAATATATGCGGCAAGTACCTTTTCTCCTGTCAACGCTACCATGTCCAGAGGGCCATACATAAATCGACCAACCAAGACCTGCAAACCACCCTCCACTGCAATCACATCATTGACTCGATGATTGGCTGTGACATTCTGAAAATAAAGATTCATTCATGTTCATAGAACTGTTCTCATAACTATACAACCCATAAATTGCATAATCACATCTATATAGCTACAACTGTGCTCATAAATTATATATTTCTGGCAGAAATGGTAAGATGTGGACCATTTTTAAGAAAACTTCAAGGGATCTTCAAGCAATTAGGGCAGCTTCAAGGGGATGTTTCACCTCTCTAGGGAGATGCTCTCTTCCAAGAGGTAGCCCAACATGTTCCACTCTTAGGAAAGAAACCCTTTGCCATATTTCCTCATGGTTGCTAAATCCTCCACACAGGAGGCATTGCTGCAGGAGAAAAACCTACAGTATGGCCATAGACTGGAATGGCAAGCAGCAAATGGAAAAGGAAAATTGTGCTGGCAGTTAGGAGGAGAAATGTTGGGGTGCTGGCAGTGAGAAGACAAAGTAATTATTTGCAGGGCTTCAAGGGGATGTTTCACCCCTCCCTGATGTTTTGACATTTGTTGCTAGAACAGGCAAAACTGTCCTTTGTGTGCAGCAAGTCACTGCATATCTGGTTTCTAGATTCAATGCAACAGAGGCACAGCTGCCATGACATTTGTGACATTTTTTTGTTGCTGATATGCACAAAAAGGCAGTCCTAGAAAGAACTGTTGGGTCTGTGTACTGCAAAAACAGATGTGGGTACACAACATTAGGTAGTCCACCACAGTGCAATTCACAGTAAAGCAGCACAATACAGATGGGCTAAGATAGTGGGAGCCCATGTGTGTTTGCTATAAACGCAGGTGGGTACACGCCATCTTAGCCCATCACACTGCAATTTATTGCAATGTGGCACAATATAGCACTGGGTATGGTACCTCTGCACTGTATATAGTAGTTTACAGCAGCAACTATCTTCCTGTAAACACACATTCTGTCAGCTCTCACTATCTACTCCAGGTCACTCCAACACACTGAGTATATCACCACTGTACTGTATAAAGCACTTTTCAGCAGCACTGTATACAATGTAGCCTCAACTATCTCTTCCTGAAAACTCTTGGTCATTATTCCTATCAACTCCAGATCTCTCCAACTTACACTGACAGTACTTTTTCAGCAACACTGTATAGTATAGACGCAATTGTCTTTCCCTGCAAACATTGTCAGCTCTCCCAACTTTAGATCTCTGATGCCAACTGACAAAAGTCTGCTTGGTATTCTGACTTTTATAGGGAAATGGATGGAACATAGGAAAAATTCCATTATTGGTCCTTCCAAGCCACCAGTAGACTGGCAGAACTCACAGCATGAAAGGAGATTTATCAAGTAAGCTTATATTTGGATTGCCAAAAATATCTATCATTTGTATTGCTATTACTATTGCTGATGTTATTAAATATGTGTATGCTGTGACCATAGATCTCCTTTAATACACAGGGCACACAAGTTCCTCCAGCAGTGGTAAATTCACATTCAACGCAAGGCATCACAGCCGTATGGGAAGCTTTTACTGGTGTTGCCCTAGAGCAAATACTGTATGTAAAGCAGCCAACTTGTCTTGAGTTTGTGGACCATTATAATGTTAAACCAGCAGTTTGGTTTTCTGCAAATTTTGTGAGCAGAACTATTTTTATGTCCCTACGTTTGGGCACTTAGTAATCCTTTTTTGAATATCATCCCTCTCCTGCTTCTAAGTTACATGTATGTTGTCATGCTGGCTCCACAAGACTGAAATAATACTTTTTATACTTACCATAGTTTGTCTTTCCTGGTGCCAATACATGTCAGAATACTTGCCCCACCTTGCTTCGCTTGATTCTAGTTGCAAAAATGAGATGGGCCCTTATAGTTATCATTGGTCCTGTGGTTAGGCAGGTGAGTGCAGCCACTACCACATGTATGCTGGAATGTATTATCAACAGGAAAGGAAAACTATGCTAAGTATGTAACAATTTACCAGTTCTGAAACAGCAGAATTTTAGTTGTCGCCTGAACATAATAATCAAGCTTTAAGAAAAAGCAGAAAAACAAAATTCACATGGTGATGTGTGTGTGGTTAACATACTCGCAGTTTGACGTGATTCCTCTTTCGAAGCCATTTCTCTTGCCGACTGGAAGGACTCATATTCATCATGTCAATGCCCTCCTTCTGCTGTATCTGCACACTCTCAACCTCATCAGCTGAAAGACAGTGAAGACTCATTAAAGGGAGTATTGATGTCATAACATGCCTGTGCTGCAGCCAAATGAATCCCAGCTGAAAGATGATCAATAATTAAACTCTTTAAGCAGATACATATACAGGAATAATCCAGAATGTAGTGTCTAACAACCAGTTATGATCATTATAGTGCATAAATAACAGACAGTAAAACAGAGGTGTTCATTCTTTGATCTGATGCATCAGCAGATGAAAGTTGCATGAACATTATAAATATAATAAATTTGAGCACTTGTACTATGCTGGATATATAGAAAGAATTAAAAAATCTAGTGGCAAAGTAATTTACTAAGTGAACTGTGAAAAATTATCACTGATCTATATTAAAACCTTTCTAAAGGATAATTTTTAAAAATTTTAAATAAACATGTTATACTTACCTCCTCTGTGGAATGGTTTTGCACATAACTGCCCCAAACCACCTTTTTTGGGGTCCCCCACCAGAGATTTTTAGCTCTAGCTTTTCTGTTCATATCCTCACAGCAAGCAGTTGGTATGAGAGTAGACGTGCCAGCTCTATCCCAAGTTGGGCTGTGCACAAATATTGACACACAGTGTAGCTCGGTAGCGCTCCCTCCTCACAGGATTTGATTGACAGCAGAAGGAGCCAATGGTTCCTGCTGCTGCATCTGTGCATGTTAGACGAGAGAGCTGTGATGCTGATCTCTGGCCCAGCGATTAATCAAAAGAGGAGCCAGGAAATTGTTGTGGTGGGAGGGCAGGGAGGACATGATGCTGGAAGTTTTTTTTTACTTTAATGCATAAGGGTAAAAAACCTTTATCCTTTGAAACCACTGTAAATTTACAACAGTAGGGCACATAAAATATTTACAGTATTTTTTCAACTATTATAAACAGTTCCATAGATACTCATTTTTCTTTGCCAGTCAAGTCTACAGGTTGTTGGCATTACATATAGACCCCCTCATACCTCAAACAAACACCTTGGGTGTTCGTGTTCAAATCTTAAAGCCTAACTGAACTCTGGGATTAAATCAGATAAATACATTTCAAGTCCATCAAAACAGGTGTTAAAAATCTTACAGCTTATTTTTTTTTTCTAAAGCAGCTCATGTTCCCTTTGGATCTGCCTCTGACTCAGCAGAGAGTATGTCAGACCTCTGCAGAGAGACTACTGATTCCCCAGAGAGAACAAGGGTCCTTCTCTACAGCATTCTGTCAGGCACAGGCCTTTCTACTTCTATAGCTGCTTTAGAAAGAAATAGAACTGTGAGCCACTAAGCACCTTTTGCATTGATGCACCTAGAAGATATTTAACTGATTTAAACTGTGAATTAAATTGGGCATTAAAGCAAGCCTGTACTGGAATTAAGTGACATAAAACAAGAAGCCTGCAAATACATATCCTGTTTTGAAGCCCCTTATTTTAGGATGTTCATTATACAAATGACAGCCGCTAGTTATAAAGCTGGAATTCTGCCATGCCTCCTTCAGTGCAATGCAGTCTATGTAATCTATTAAGGCTCTTGCACTGCAATGGTTAGGATACATATATAGAACCATTTCCTTTTGTTTAGGCCTTGATGAAGAATTGACAGTGAATATTGTTTTCCAATACAAATAAATCTTCCATCCAGCCAAGCGGCAAAATATCCAGCTGAAACAGGTATATGGGAGCTGTGTTACCTGCCAAAAGATTCTGCCCATGCAGTCCTGAAGATTTGCACTACAAGATACCAAAATTATGCTACTGACATTTTCCAAACTACAGTTAAGCAATACAGCTCATTCCAAGCTAGTGATTGGACAATTATGGAGCAGCAATAGACTGATGAGGTCATAAGTCTCCTCTCTCTTCCTTTCTCTTTCCCCTTCCCAACTAGCCTAATTTTTGTAGCATTGAATAAGGAGATAAAAAAAAAACATAAGGGAGTGTCCAGTCTCCTGTACTGTACTCCAAAACATTGATTTTACTGGTAAATCAAAAATCTTATTTTCTTAGTAATACAGTACATGACACAATACTCTTTAACCGTAGATCAACTGAGGGGTGAGCAACCAAAACACTACCAAGCCCATGTGGCAGCAGGTTAAGGAAGGGCTCAATAGAACCCAAAACACCTTCTACCTGAAAATAGAGTTAGACAGCCTGAAGAGTAGAAGCTGAGAGATAAACTTGAACAGTGCATACCTCAGGAAATACAGGAGTCAGACAGGGAAAATTCAGAACAATATCCTAGTTAGGATGAAGAGAAAGGGAGAAAAGAAGCCAATGCGTCAAACAACCATGTCCTTAATGAAGAATGCCTCTTTTGACACTTTGACAGGGAATACTGCCAATTTGTAACTAAATGTGCAAGAGCAGTGGTGGCGAGATGGCAATAGGTCTAGGCAGGGAAAAACCTTGTCCAATTCTAAGGACAGAATCACAGGGAAAAAATTCCATCACATGTACAAAGGCCCCCACCAAGGACTGAGGGTCATGTGGCTTCCAAAAGGAAATGCGAAGGCTAAGAATAGACTCTTGATGGTCATCAAGGCCCCACACTGATCCAGACCAACCGAAGAGGGTAGGATCCATCCCACAGCATACAGTCTTGGAATAATCCTGATTTCACAACAAAAAATAAGAGTAAAAGCTTCCGAAATAGAGCCACGGTGGCAACAGTGCAGCTAAAAAGTTTATAAAAGAATCTTGAGAGAAAACCCCATTACAATGGGCTAGCAAAAACTGAGGCTAGCTGAGGGTGGGAGGGGTTATTTGGGGGATGCTACTGCAGTTTTCTCTTTGCCAGTGTTCAATCACTTGAAGGTGAAAGCATATCATCAGGGTTAAAGAATACTTTGTCCTGTACTGCACAACTAATAAATGGTGTTTTATCTGTGTGTAGCTCAGCTTCTTCCTTCTTCTCATGGTAGAGTCAGAAGATTCAAATAATTTAATTTGTACTAAGTGGAATTACAACTGGACAGCATTTATGCATCTATGCAGCAAGGTAAATAAGCTAACTGCAGCATCTAAACCTACAAGTGAACCAGTCCCCCTTCTGACCTTAGGGGGCATCATTGTTGACTCCTACATTCAGGGATTGCACAGCCTCATGCCTTGGCAAGCAAAATCACCAGGAAGAGTGTTACAAGTAGCTGCACAGAAAACAATTACAGTGACAAGCCCTAAAGTGAGAGTGAGAATAATGTCACAAGAGCTGGGTGGTGGTGTTAGAAGGTCCCTAAAAAACAGTAGCAGAAGTCCTATTAAGCACAAGTGTATCAGATCTCCCAAACTGCAGGAGCCAGTTTTCAAAGAAGCCAAGATCTCCTCTCCCAACACTGAAGCACTTGACATGTCATAAGTGTTAGAGCGCTAAGTGATGGTCAAAGTGTCTCCTGTCAATAATTGTAGTAAAATGTATTTTACTGTCCCCTTATTTGCTTTGATGCTCTTTTGACCTCCAGTATTTCTAAAGGGTTGTCATGAGCTATGTCTGCTGTCCCACATGCTGTCAAAGACTGATGAAATACTTACAGAAGCAGGATGCTGACTGAGAAGGGTTTCAATTCAGTGCATCTATGTGCTTGAAGCTGAGCACCAGTCACATATAAATAGCCACCAGATAACCCAGGTATGGATTAAATATTAAATCATGGTATGTACTACAAAAAGTCATGTAATGGGTCTTTATATCAGCCTCCTGTGCTGCACTGCAGACTCAAACTGGAAAAAGGATGGGGATACTACAAGTCAATCCAATTCTATTGAATTGCACAATGCTGTCTAACACTGAGAGCTTTCAAAGAGAATAGAAGAGCAGAGCAGGGGGGACTGACAACTCATGGGGCCCCCGGGCAATAGGGGATCATGGGGCCCCTGTGTCCTTGCCCAAACTCAAAAAAGCCTATAAAAAAGGTACCAGGGGCATCTCATGGGGCCCCCTACTGACCCTGGGCCCTGGGGCAGTGCCCGAGTTTCCAAATGGTCAGTCCGCCCCTGGAGCAGAGTGATGACCTAATTAGTGTGCTGACTCTTATTCATTGTCCATTAACAGGCTAGAAGATGTTTCATCAGCAGTGTATTCTGCAGAGAGGTCTCAGGGTATGTAAGACCTTGCAGTGTTGTATGGCAGTAATGTCTTGATCATAGGTTGAAAAGAAATACAAATCCTTTGGAAGTTGAAACATTTTGCAAATATGTATTTAAATGTGCATTCCTGAAATTCACCTATGGGCATCAAAGTAGTCATTGTGCGCAATATAGTTCTATCCTCTCCAGACCTCCCTTATCACAGAAAAAAATACAACCACCACTCAACAACTAAGAAGAGGGTTGTCCTTTTCAGCTGAGTCATAGCTGACGTTTACAGTTCAATTCAGCTGAAAGAGATTAATTTATTCTTGGTTTAATAAGTTATACTTGTTTACTATTTGAATCACTTAAGATTTGTTCAGAAATTACAAAACGTTCTCAATAACATGTCAAAAGTATAAATGAATATGCTCAAAAAGATATTACAAAAGTTAAGCGGCAATTTTATCCTACATGAAGATGTCCTTTCTACTAGCAAAGCTCATAACTATGTTCTGTTTCAGTAAATGGTGTCTTACCTGCCTCAAAATAAAGGCCACCACATCTGTTGACTCCCAGTAGCTGGCATGGAAAAGATGAGGCAATGCCACAGTTGGGAAGGCAGTGAGCACATCAGGACAATATAAAGCATAGTCAATACGCTTTGTTCCCCACCAGTTAGCTGTAACTATATTCATGAAAGACAAAAACAAAATGATAAAAATTGCTGGAGAGTGTTAATGCCTGCTGATACCTGTTCAACACAGAACAATAACAGGTTTAGAAAATCAAAATGATATTTCAATTTGTGGTCCAAAAAGCAAATTTTCCCTGAAAAGCTCTCATTTGAAAATTTGGGTGGTTTAGCTGTATCCAGATTAATCCATGGGAGATTAAATAATTTTGTCCAAATGTTTCTGGATTTAGACTGTTCCCATTTTAATAAACTGTGCAAACAGTTTCATAAAACATTTTTGTGTAGTTGGTTTTCTTTAGAAATAGGTTGAAAGGTTGACATACCGTTTGCAATCTTTGCTGATGGCAAGCTTTCTGAAGAACTAGACATCTCGCTGTTCATGCTCACCAGGCTGGATCTTCTACCTTTTACCTGGGTAGGTGTGGATAAATTGGACAATGCTGGAGCCTCTGTAGAGGGGGAATTGCTGCTTGTTGAATTTTCAACAAATGCTGTACTACATGCTTGAATGGCATCCACTGGGGAAAAAATGAAAAGCATAAAGTAGTGTTCATTCGCCCTGCACCGATAACATGCATAAGCAATGTGAAAATTTTTATTCATAGAAATGAGTTACATATATTAACTGAAATCTAAATATGAAAACAATAACCTATAAATGTGCTAAAATAAAAAAATAGAGAGCAATATATTATTATTATACAGGTTTTATACAGCGCCAACAGTTTATGCAGCGCTTTACAATATAAGGGCAGACAGTACAATTACAATACAAATGAATGCAGGACAGATCAGAGGTCCTTGCTCATTAGAGCTTACATTCTAAGAGGGAGGGTAATTTGATACAAAAGGTAATAACTGCAGGGGATGGGCTGATGGAGAAAATTTGTGTAGAGTTGCTACGTGGGAGCAGGATAGGCTTCTCCGAAGAGATGAGTTTTTAGGGATCGTCTAACAGTGGACAGAGTAGGAAATAGTCGGACACTTAGGGGAAGGGAGTTTCAGAGGATGGGAGCAGCTCTGAAGAAGTCTGGAGGTGAGCATGGGAGGAGGTGACAAGGGAGCTAGAGAGCAGGAGGCCTTGGGCGGAACAAAGAGAACGATTTGATTGGTATTTTGAAACAATGTTAGTGATGTAGCTGGGGGCTGTGTTGTGGATCGCTTTATAAGTTGTTGTAAGTATCTTGAATTTTTTTCCTTGGGTGAGTGGAAGCCAGTGGAGGGATTGCCAGAGAGGGGTGGCAGCCACTGAATGGCTGGTAAGGGGGACGAGCCTGTCAACAGCATTCATGATGGACTGAAGGGGGACTAGCCTATGTAAAGGTAAGCCAGTGAGGAGTGAGTTGCAGTAGTCAAGGCGGGAGATGGCCAGGGAGTGATTAGAAGCTTTGTGGTGTCATTGGTTAGGAAGGAGCATACCTTGGAGTTATTACGGAGGTGCGGCAAGCTCTAGACAGTGATTAGATGTGGAGCCAAAAGGATAGTTCAGATTCCAGGATTATATCTAGAACCTTGGCATGCGGGGACAGATTGATGGTTGAGTTGTTGATTTTGACAGAGTACTTGGGGGAAGGGGCACATAAGGGAGGAAATATTATGAGCTCGCTTTTGGATAGATTGATTTTCAGGAAGTGCTCTGACATCCAGTCTGATATGTAAGTTAGCAGATTAGTGATGAATGAGGAGACTAATGGAGTGAGCTGAGGGGTAAAGATTTGGGTATCATCAGCATAGAAATGGTATTGAAAGCCATGGGATGTTATCAACTGACCCAAGAAGGAGGTGTAGAATGAGAATAAGAGGGGTCCAAGAACAGAAGTTTAAGGAGAGTAGTTTCCATGGAGTGTTGAGGGTGAAATCCAGACTGAAGGGGATCAAGAAGGTTATTCTCATTGAGATGGTCACTCAGTTGGTTGTAGAACAAGCGTTCAAGGAGTTTGGAGGAAAAGGGGAGTAAGGAAATGGGTCATAGATTGTTAAGATTGGTGGGGTCTAATGAGGGCTTTTTAGGTATTGGGGTGACTAGTACATGTTTTACAGAGTTGGGGAAGATGCCGGAAAAGTGGGAGAGTTTGAAGATGTGAGTTAGAGAGTGTAGGATAGAGCCAGAGGGTGAATGTAGCATTTGCGACAGAAAAGGGTCCAGGGGGCAGGTGGTTAGGTGAGTGTTAGAAAAAAGTTTAGCAACCTTGTCTATAGTAGTGGGGCTGAATGCAGTAAGTAGTGATTGTACCTGTGGACATGGAGTGTTATATGAGGAGGTATCTGCACATCTGAGATCTCCTCATGAATTGTATCAATCTGCTTTTTGAAGTGATTGGCAATCTCCTGGGCAGTGAGTGAGTAAATGAGTGGAGGCAGTGAAGGACGAAGAAGAGAGTTTAAGGTTGAGAAGAGTTGAGGGGAACTGGATGGGAAGGTGTTAATGAGAGTGAGGAAATAGGTTTGCTTAGCAGTGAGGAGGCAGGAATAGTATTTCTGGAGGGCAGATTTATATTGGTTGAAATCTTAGTCTTCCACCACAGATGCTCACGTTTTTTGGTTACATTTTTTGAGACTTCTGGTGTCATCTGTTTGCCAAGGTTGTAGGGATAGGGGCCTGATTGTGTCTTTAGTGAGGGGGGCAAGCTTGTCTAGGGAGGATGACAGAGAGTTGTTTTAGACAGAAGTGGCCAGATTGGAGCAGGGCAGGGGTGAGACTTTGTCATGGAGGTGGTCAGTAGCAGAGTAGAGAAGCAAAGGGTTGAGGTGGCAAAGGTTTCTACAGGTAACTGTTATGCAGTTGGAGGGAGAGGTGGTGAAAGAGAGAGAGAGTGAAATAAGGTGGTGATCAAATCACACCAAATTAAGAAAGCCCCCAATCCCCAGTATCTTGTGAGAAAAAAAGACAACTAATTAAATGTGCTCCACGCAGTGGAGCTGAATCAGCTGAATTGCAAACTCATCAAATCAAAGTGACCAGAAAAGCTGAAGATCCTCATAAGCCCAAATATAAATGAGGAAAAAAGCCCAAAGTTTAATATAACATGCAGTATAGTATTTAAAATTGTGAGAATAAAAATGAAAGATCACTATGCATTTACATGATACAGGTTCCAAAGGGGGCACCAACATAAACAGCTCATATTTGCATCTTCTAGCTGTTGTATTGGCAGTGCTGTAGCTTGGTACTGTAATATGGTCTTTATGGTGTTTTCATCATATAATGTAAAGGGAGACAGTACAGTTACAATATGATTCAAGACAAACGGGTTAGGAGGGTCCTGTTCATGACAGCTTACAATCTAATAACAGTATTCCTTATTCCTGCTGAAGCTCTTGTTTGCACAGCTATATTCATTTGATGTGTAGGGGCAATGCAATTCCCACAGCTTAAGCGTATACCCTCACATTTTTTTTCATTTTAGTGTATCTGTAGGTAGTTATAAAAGTTTCCTATTTAATAATTTATGTATTAATTTTGTAACCCCATGCAGTGTAGTTGGGAGAGAAAATGCATGCAATGTAAGACAATCAGGCTTGATTATATTAAAATAGTAGTGCTGTGCATCTAACAAATGGAAATTGGTGTTTGAAATAGAGAGTCCAGAAATGACCTTATCAGTGAACTGCTGCTCCTTTACCATCCAATCACAGTCTTGACCAGGCTTGAATGTAGTAGAGAAAAATAAGTGGTAAGAATATGGCTTTCTGAAAGGGGTGTTGGATTACAATTTCTGTGTTGAATTAATGAACAAAAAACTATCTAAACATTTTAACCAGGGCTGGAGAGGCTAATAAATGTGAATTGGTGGAGAATTGCATTATCCCTGTCTATTTTCTCGTTACCCATAATGGAGTTAAATTGTATGAAACTTTAAAAGACGTATAGAAAATCAATCAGTTAGAAGTATCTCATTACAAAATTCAAGAAAAATTGTGTACGGCCCAAACTCCATAATATTGTGTACCTTGTGAATCCATTTAACCACCTTCCGCCCGCCATATAGCACAATGACGGGCGCAAGTTGGTTCTCTCGTACTGATAGGACGTCATAAGACATCCTTCCATTCTCACCGCGCATGCACGGCTCATGCGGTGCGCTGTGTCCCTCAGACACAGCAGAACACGGATCACGGAAAGAGCCGCAGATGTCGGCTCGGTCATGTGATCAGCTGTGTCCAATCACAGCTGATCACATGTAAACAGGGAAATGCCGGTTATCGGCGTTTCTCTCCTCTGCTCCTGGGAGCTTACTATCTAAGAGGGAGGGGCTGGTGGAACAAAAAAGTATTAGCTGGTGGGGATGAACTGATGGGAGAAATAGAAGAGTTGATTATTAGCCGAAGGCAGGATAGGCTTATTACTTATATAGTGCTGTCAATTTCCGCAACGCTTTACATATATATTGTACATTCACATCAGTCCCTAACCCTCAAGGAACGTACAATCTAAAGTCCCAAATTCACGTTCATATATACACATACTAGGAACAATTTAGACAGGAGACAATTTACCTACCAGCAAGTCTTTGGAGTGTGGGAGGAAAATGGAGTACCTGGAGGAAACCCACGCAGGCACAAGGAGAATATGCAGACTCCAGGCAGGTAGTGCCATGGTTGGGATTCGAAACAATGACCCTAGTGCTGCTAGGCAGACGTGCTAACCACTTAGCCACTGTACTGCTATTTTTTGATTATTTATAAGTACAAAAAATACTGTCTGCAAAACTAAAATTTTAGTTGTCATGTGCCCCTGTTTTTATCCATGTAAGTATATAATTTACTGTTTGGTCAAATTGCTTCTGTAATAAAGTATGTCACTGACCTGCAGAGTTTTTATAATTCTAAACAGCATAACTGAATGTCATTAGAAAAAATGGCAGCATTTGCTGTTTTCTCTGACAAATTAATTAATAGATGAAAAATAATGTTACCCAACAACAATTTCTGTGGTAACCACTGCTAACTTTAGCCCATTTGAGTATGTTGTCTTTAACTACCAACTGTCTTCGGTCTTTTACCCATGTATTAACATTCTCCAAAGTCCTTGCATCCTTGTCCCCTGGACCAAGCTATTATGAGGAACATTATCAAATGCTTCTTCATTCAATTTGAAAATAAAAGCTGATTAAGACATGACCGGTCTTCAATACACCCACTGCTGTTAGATTGCTCTATACTATATATTTTTTTGCATTTCTTTTAAAATACTTTCAAATAATTTGCACCCTACAGAGGGCAGGCTTCCATCATTATCCATGCCTAGTTTTTTACTCCTCTAGAATAAATTAAGTGTCATCCAGACTGTTCCATGGTACAAGTTAATAAAATAAAATATATGGTTTTAAGGTTTATTAATTGTTAAACTTATTGATGGATGCGTAGAC